AGAATTCCCCGCCCACTTACTCACGTCTTCCACCCATTCTTGGCTCGCAGCTGCCCAACCAGACCATAACCCCTCGACAACCCCTCATCCTGTTAAAATAGTTCCCATTCCGCCATGTCGCACTCTTGTGCCTGAAGGACGGCAAAAACCCTGCTGCTCAATGCTATTCACTCATCGGATGCGCTGTCGCCCATTAGCAACCATCATCGCACATCCAAGATTCACCGATAATATATTCCTGTTCCCGCGACACGAACCCAACCCTCGCCGTTATGGGGGAGCCCGCGAACACGAATGTGTTGCTGAAAGAGCTGCACGCGGACCTTGGCCGAAAATATAAGAAGCACGAGGCAGAAATTGAGACATTCTGGCGGTCGTTTGACGCGACGCAGCGTGCAGCATGCCTGAGGGCTGGTGCCGCGGGGGGCGTCGTGCTGAGGCACCCGACGGACGCGTCACTGGGCAATGTCTGTAAGTTCATCCCGGAGTACAATCTGCGCGACATCGCAGACTCGGGACCCGACTTCCTCCTCGACCTCATCAAGCACCGCGCGACCACATCCCTCTTCCAACAATACTGCGAGGGCGACCGCGGCGACCCGGGCGATCATGGAGTCATCGTTGAGATGGAGCGGACAAGAGGGCTCCGCCACGTACAGACATTCGACAGATGCTTCACCCTCTTTTTGGACGAGAATCAATATGGGCAGTCCTTCAGAATGTCGGATGCCGTGAACGAGGTCCCTGCTCCTCTTCTGCCGGCCATCCGCGCCGGCCTTTGCGTCCCCCAGTCAAGGGGAGAACTCATCCTGCTGAGGCAACTCTATCTGACACAGTGCCTCGTCATTCTTATCGACGACATCCTGGACGAGGGATCCCGAACCAGGGCCAAGAAGGAAGTGCCCAAAAAGTCGGACAAGGCGGCATCAGCAGCTCTGGCAAAGCTGACTATTCAAGACCGGCCGCCGGCAGAGGATTCTCTATCAGACCTAATCGCCAGCGCCCTGGAGCAAAAGGCCACGCTCGACGAGTACTTTAGTCTGCTCTGTACTGAACCTGTTGTGCTTGTCCACGCCGCCAACATTTGGTTCTTCACCCGGCCCGAGCTGGTCGCCGACGAGCAAGGCCGCCGACTGCCTGCCCACAGCGACCGGTATATCAGCGGCGCTATTCTTGAAGCGATCCATAGCGCGGTGCAGGGAGCCGCCGTTTGGGACTACATTTGTCGACTTCTCGAACTTCTCAACACCCAAGCCGGCGCGGACGAGGTCTACCGCGCCATCAGCTTGCAAGAGATAGCCAACGTCTGCCATCTGGAGTTCGCCCGTGCCCAGGCCCTCTTCAAGCGCCATGTTCAGACGGGGACGGGCGCCAAGTTCTTCAAGCGGCAGTCTGGCGCGCACGACAGGGCTGGCAATGCCCGCGTTTCCATGAAATGCAACCTGAAGAAACTCGCTAAGGCTGATGCGCAACTTTATTACATGATGCACCTTTGCCAGGCCGAGACGACTCCCCAGGACGCCGTCAACTGGCTCAAGAAACTGGCCGAGTTCAACGAGTCGCACCCTACGGCGCGAGAGCAGATGGAGGAAAGGGAGGCCGACGCGCTAAACGACCTTGCTGTCGTCGTCGGCTTCATCCAGGACCTTTCTCCCGCCATCTCGATGCCGTCTGTCTCGTACAAGAAGGGGCAGATGTTTGTCTCGCGATCGCAAGACCTCGAGGCCGAGATAGTCCAACTCAAGGACCAAGTCGACCTTCTCGATTTTGCTCTCCCGATCGACAACCTCCTGGAGCCGGCAATGTCCGAGGGAGCTCGGAAGAAGCTCGACCAGTTCGTCATTGACAAGGTCGGTACCAAGATGGGGTTCCTGTACGAGGACTTGGTACACGAATGCTTTGCCGTCCTCGAGAACCAGTACCAGCTGGCAAAGGCCAAGATGGAGGAACAGGCGAAGGCCGCCACAATGGAGCAGCAACAGGAGACAGACTGGACGCCCATCCCCGTACCAGCCCCGCAGCCGCGAAAGGAGCGCGTCGAGCAGCGGAGACAGAAGGAAAAGACCCGCCCTGCCCACTCCTCCGTGTACGAAATCACCCAGGCTGCCGCCCCCCCTGCTGTAGAGGCATCTGCAGAGGAATCTACGCCGTCACTTCGGACATTCGAGGTGAGCGCCTCGGCGGCCGAGGTGTTTTCGACGCTGTTTGACAAATCTCGATCGCGCGGCGCGGTCAACTGGGCGGATTTTGTGGCGGCAATGGTCGGACTGGGGTTCTCGGTCCTACCCAAGTTCGGGTCCGTCTACACGCTTCTTCCGCCTGAGAGCATGGGAGTGAAGCAGTCAATTACGGTGCACCGGCCGCACAAGTCGCGGATCGAGGGATACCGGCTGCTCATCCTTTCGCGGAGGCTGAAGAGGACGTATGGATGGGGGGAGAAAACTTTCGTGGTTGCTTGAGCGGCAGTATTAATACCAGAATTGTCACCGATATTCTGTTTAATCTCAAGCTCATCTTACATGCTCTGCATGTTCCGCGATGCGTACCGCGAGTCAGAACATGTCCCTATCATGCATGCGATTTTGTCACGAGGACAACAACCATCACCGATCGTTTTCGGGGAACAATTGTGTCTTGGCAGACAAGCTCCTTGGCGTGCGGGCCTTCAAAGGCCGACAACCACTCGTTTGTTCACCGGTTAGCCTTGTCATTTCATTGGTGCCCGCGCTAGGCATCCTTCCTAGTAGACGAGTGGCGCCAATTCTCGCTTCTCTGTTTTCCATCCACTAGTGGTGCTAGTTCCTGTTTCTATGTCTTCATCCACTAGTGGCACCAGTTCTCGTTTCTGTGTCTTCATACACTATTACACCAGATAGGTAGCTAGCCTGAGATTTTCTTCAGCATCAACCTATATAGCTCGCTCGGCGAGCATCTGCTCAGAGGTGGACGAAAATACTCGTTTAGTACCCTGCTACGCTGTCGTATTCTACGATCGGCTCGTCTCGATGTACTTAAGCGATATCTGGATTCTAAGTCTCTTCCTAGCACAAAGCAGTCGACTCCAGCTCTGAAGCTGCTTCTCTAGGATAGCCCACTCAATGTCTAGTTCGTTAAACTGCTTAACAAGGTCCCGCTCTAAGCGATCCGTGACGGATACTACAACATTGGTTTCTTCAGCCTTATATAACTTATTCGGCGGGAGCTTTTTGTCGAGGAGCTTTTCGAGCTTGGGTCGTAGAATTATATTCTAAAAAGCGTGAAGTATAAGAACAAGGTCCTGTTCAGTGTCTTTCGCGACCATTCTATTGTTAATTATCGACTTCCACTCAATGGAATAGTAAATACAATGTCACGAGCTGAACCGCGGAAGGCGGCCCGTGGCACATGCAGATAGGGCGCGGGACGTACTGCCAACCAATCATTTACGCAACCAATCAGGAGAGGCTCGATGGGATCTCTTTAAGATCCATAAGAGCCAACGCCAGGATCGATAAAGGAAGGCTGAGAGCCAATAGACTCGACGGGATCTCAGTAAGAGCCACGAGATCCAGGTACAAAGGAACTCTAGGACAAAGAAGTCGTTAAGTATATAGATAACTAGCTAGTCACTCGTTAAGGGAGTGTCACGGACAAGAACACGGGCCACCTCAGCCTATCGCTTAATGGACCAATCAGGAGGATTATTACCAGGTATCAGTGATAGTGGAGGATTATCACCAGGTGTCAGTGATAATGGAGGATTATCACCAGGTGTCAGTGATAATGGAGGATTATCACCAGGTATCAGTGATAATGGAGGATTATCACCAGGTGTCGACGGTTATCACTGAAGGATGGTGATGCTAGATAGTATATAGTCACTCGTTCTAGGGAGCTCTGGGAGTTCCTGTGACGAATCGTATCAACCACACTCTGAAAGGGTTCACTGAAGGTATTGGCAAGGGTTGTAATTCAGTGAAGCCAAAAGGTCTATAACAAGATAGTGATCTGGTCTCGTTGTTTATAGCAATTAGTAGCGAACAAGTTGTATTGCTTACTGAGGAAGTCCTAGACTCCCTCAACGAGTGACTAGCTAGCTATCTATATACTTAAGGACTCCCTTATCCCTAAGTATCTTATACCTAGATCGTTAGTTATTTCCTACAATCTAACCTAGATCGTCTAGATCGTTGGTCGTTCCCTATAATCTAACCTTTATCCTAGATCGTTATATTACTTCTATAATCTAACTCTGATTAGTTTATTCCTTATTATAAATGATTAGCTATTAGTATACCCTATACCCTATTCTTATATAACCTATATATTAGTCTATAATATAATACCCCTCTTTAAGCCCTTTTATCCTAAAAGGTCTAAGTCTAAGTTTTAAATACTACTAACAATCTATATTGTAAATCATTATTCTACTTCCCTTCTATATTGTTGAAATGCTGATAAAATATCTACTTATATAAGAAAAGCAAGACCTAGCTTCCCTTATTCTAAGACTCTCTAATATAACTACCTTTTTAATACAATTCTTCATTCCTCTATTAGTATAAAGACCCTATACTCCTTTTATAACGCCTAGGGCCTAGTCTATAAAGTTTCCCCCTTTAACTCCTCTACTTATTATAAATATATATACCGATATAAGCTATTGTATAAGACCTAGGGTATTACTCCTCAACAACTCTAGAAAATCATAATATAATATAATAAGGTCAAGTCGGAGTTGGATAATACTAAGGTACTGGCTAAGGCTATTAACGCTAAGGTACGTTGTCTTTAAAAATAAAAGAAATTATAGCTTAAGAAGATAAATTATACTATTGTTCAGGATATTAATACTATAGAGGAGTTAGAATAGGTAGAGTAGGAGGAGATAGAGGCGTCTATTATACTAGAGACCTCTTATATTAGTTCTCTATATACCTTAACTATTCCTTCTTTAATAGACGTTTTTAACTCTTCCCTTCTTAAGTAAATATTCCTTTCCTTATTTTAATAAATGAAATGGTTATATAGTATAGTAGTAGTATATATACTATTAATATATTGTTTATATCGACATTAGTCGATATAGATAATATATATATTAGATTATAGGTTTAATCCCTACTATAACCTCTCCTTTTTTTTTTACTAACCGTTTACTTATCTTAGTTCTTCTTCTATACTTTTTAACGATAGCTTTGACTAGTCTTTTCTAGCTATATAGGGTAATTAGGGTTCTAGCAGTAGAAATCCTATAGCTTCTCCAGGCAGTTGATTAAATTTTCTGCTAGTTACTATAAGTTGTCCTTAGGTCTAAAGTCCAATTATTTAACCAAATATTTAAGTTACCCCTTTATAATCCTTAAGTCGAGGATTTCCTCTATATCCTATTCTTCTTCTTTATCCTCTACTTTAGTATCCTTATCGAGCCTTAAGTTCTTTAATATAGGTTCTAGTAGTACTATATAAAAGACGTTCGTTTATAACTTTATAGTTGATAGTAAGGTAAGGGTATAATTGTTCTCTGAAATCCTCTTATCGATTTTAAATAGCCTGATTTTCCTAAAATCTAATTTCCTACTAGATCGTTTAGTTTTAAGGTTTTATAAACTAAGGTAGACCTTATCCCCCCTTTTTAGATAAGGTCCTTTAAGCCTTTTCTAGTTATAGAACTTCTTTATCCTAGCCCTTATAAACTTAAGTTCTTCTTTAAGTATTATATAGAGTAAGCTTATCTTATCTATCTTAACTATAGCCTAGGATATCTTAATATTAGGTCCCTAGTAAAGGTTAGGTTTATAACTAAAGTTTATAAAGTATAGTATAACTTTTATTATCTCTATCTCGGTAGTATTATAGGTAAGTTATATAATAGATAGTAGCTCGATCTAGTTATTCTACTAGAAATTAATATAAAGTTAAAGGTATTGTTTAACTACCTGGTTAAGTCGTTCTATCTGTCTATCTATTTATATATAGTATGCCGTTTAAAGTTTACTTTTTATACCGAGTCTTATTATTAGGGTTTGCTAAAACTTCGAGGTAAATTTAGTATCTCGATCTATTATCTACTCCCTTAGCCAAGTGTAAATTAAAGTAATATACTAGTAGAGAGTATCTATAAGTTATTCTACTATCTAGGTTTCCTTATATAGTAGGAAATAGATCTATTTAATAAGCCTATCTACTATAGTAAGAATACTATTATATACTATCTATATTATAGTATCCCTAGATTCTAATAACTTAGTGATAAAGTCTATAGTAACTAAACTCTATAGTTATTTGGTAATAGATAAAGGCTATAATAGCCTATAGGGCTTATATTGTCCTAGCTTACTTTATCTATAGAAGTTATACTCGTTAATAACCTCTTTAACCTTCTCCTTAAAATATAGGAAATTATAGTACTACTTAAGCTTAGCGGCTATTTTTATAATTCCTATATATCCTTTAAGTTTCGACTAGTAAACCTTAAATATAAGGTCTTTTTAATCCTAGGTCTTAATGTAGGCCTTATTATAATATTAGAGCCTTATCCCGTCTAGTTATAGGCTAGGGGTATTTACCTTTAGGTCTATCCTCTAGTTAGCCTATTCCCTACTAGTAACGGTTCTTTAAAAATCCTATCCTCCTCTTTCTTCCCTGAAAACTATATAACATTCTATAAACAGTTATAAAGGTACTTTCTCCTCCTCTATCTATCGGTAAACGGCTATAATCTTATAGTCTTTAACCTATTATAAGGTATAGTAAAGGGTACTATCTACTTATTATTATAGTAGTACTAGCGAGTTTTCTGGTATATTACCTTAGTGATCTATTCTCCTACTTAGGATATCTGCTTATATATTTTCTATACCCTTCTTATAGTTGATTATAAAATTAAACTCCAATAAGAATTCTACCTATCTGGTTTATCGTCTGTTTAAGACTTTAGTCGTTGTAAAGTATTTAAGGTTTTTATAGTTGGTATAGACCTATATTAGGTAGGTAGTTCTACTAAGGTAAGGTCTCTATTCTTAAAATACTTTAATAATGGTAAATAGCTCCTTATTGTAAATAGGGTAGTTAAAATAGGGCCTATCTAGCTTCTTTAAGAAGAATACTACTAGGTATAACTTTCTATTCTCGTCCCTCTATCTAAACTGTCCTCCAATTGTAAAGTTTAATATATCGGCTTCTACCTTAAAAGGTAGGTTAGGGTTTAGTAATAAAAGTACTAGGTTTATTAAGATACTCTATTAGATCTTCTAGAATATCTACTTCTAGATATCTCCCTACTTAAACTTTACTCCTTTCTTAGTAAGTTTATATAGTAGTTATATAATATTGCCGAACTTTAGAATAAACATTCGAATAAAGTTTATAAATCTGATAAATCCTTGAACCTTAGTAGTATTAGTAGATATTAGCTACCCTATAATTACCTGAATCTTCTAAGGTTTGATCTTGACTTTTCCTGGCGAGATTTTATATCCTAAGAAGACTGTCTTCTAGATATAAAACTCGCTCTTCTCTTTATTAACTAATATCTAATACTAGTATAGTATGTTAAGCACTTATTATATATACTATCGGTATTCCTTAAATATCTTAGAGTAAACGAGGATATTGTCTAAGTAGTATACTATAAACTTATTGAAGTAAGGCTAGATAATATAGTTGATTATAGTTTAGAATATTACTAGTATATTGGTAAGCCTAAACAATATTACCAGGTATTTAAAATACCTATAGGGTATTTAAAAAGCCGTTTTCCATTTATCCCCCTCTTTAATATAAATATAGGTATATACTATTAGTAGGTTAAGGTAAATAAAGTATTATATTCCCATTAACTGGTTTTAGAGTCTTAAGATCAGTAATAGAGGATACTAGTTCTTAATTATCTTACTATTTAGCTATCGGTAGTCTATATATATCCTAAGTTTCCTATCCTTTTTAAGGATAAACAATATAGAGTATCTAATAGGTAAAGTAGATAGCTAGATATACCTAATCTTTAGGTTATTATCTAAGTATTTCTTTAACTTAGTATCTTATTTTTCATTAGTATAGTAGACCTTAAAGAACTTCAGCTATACCCCCTCTTTAAGTTTGATCTTATAGTCCTAGGGTCTATATTCTAGGAGTCCCTTAAGGTACTTAGCCTAAAATACTAGATATTCTTTATATTCCTAGGGAACCTTGCTAGTTATAGTAGTTTTTATAGTTCCCCTATAGTAGGTGAACTTACTATTCTCTAGCTTAACATTTATAATCTCGAGCTTTTCGATTCTCTTTCCTTTATATTTAATACTTACTACCTTAGCTAAGCTAATCTATTACTTGATTATAAGCTCCCCTTTTTCGTCGACTAAGATAACGGTGACTTCTTAGTTGGTTTATATCTTCTTTTATTGTTATAAACTATATTTCCTAGAATCTAGAGCCTACTTCTTTTTACTGACTATTTCTTATAGTAGGACTATAGAGGTTATATTTTCTTATACTTTACCCTGTTATAGCTTCTATTCTATACTTCCTATTATATTAGTTAGGTATTTCTATAGTTTATATAGTTATAGGTAACTACTATCCTTCTAACTAATATCTAGGTTATAATCCTTATATTAGGGTAACCCTAAAATTATATCCTTAGTAGTTTCTATATCTATAATATCAAATACTACCTTTATAGTTTTCCCTTCTACCTCGATATTAAAAGGTTTAGTTTCCTTCTTAACTATCTAGGTTAGGAATAGTCCTTATACTAGGTAAAGTTCCTTCTTTATCTTCTAAAGGATCCTATACCTATTGACTAAGGTAGGACTAATAAGGTCTACTTAAGACCTATTATCTACTAATATCAAGGCCTATAGCTAATTCTACCTAACGGTAACCTAAAGTCGATTATCCTAACTTCAGTCTTAAACAGTAGCTATCTCTACTAGGCTAGTTAGAAGGTTATTATAAGGTCTTTATTTATACTAGTTCTACCTATACTATATAACCTGTTATCTAGTTTCTAAGCTTAGTAGTTAATAGGCCCTTTAAAAGGCCTATAGTTATTTCCTAAGTCCTTTTAGTATTATAGGGTACTTCTATCTACTCCCTAGCTAGTAACGTTGATAGTTTGGTATTCTTTTAATTATTTAACTACCTATAGTATAGGTTACCCTTATCCTATAAGTCGTTTATTAATTCTCTAAAGCTTCTTATTTTTGTATTACCTCTAGTCTAGCTCTTCCTCCTGAATCTTATTATATTCCAGGAGTTACTGTCGCTTATAGGCTCTATCTTAGACTTACCTTTATAGGCCGATGACTTTATTCTTTAACCCTTTAATCGATAGCTAAAGGCTATTGATCTTATTATATAATTTAAGTACCTTCTTCCTGAGGTACTAGAGATTAAGTCTAGGTTTTTCTCCTTCCTAGGTAGTATACTACTAGCCCTAGGAATTCTAGGTCAGTATCTAGCCTCTATACTTAAAGACATTAGTTCCTTTAAAGTAAGGTATAGTCTATCTAAGCTTATTAGTATAGAGGTATTTATCATTACTGTCGATAGGCTTAATAGGTTATTCCTTATACTTCTCTAAGATATCTAAAAACTCCTTATCTTCCCTTCTAAACCTAAACCTTTCTTCGTTGTTATAGTCCCTATAGAGCTCCTCTTTATAGTAGGTATAGTTAATGTCGTTTTAGTTAATACTACTAATAGTAACTTCCTTAAACTTAACTCCTTTCTTAATAATAGTAGCTTCTTGTCCTAGTATTAGGGACTATTATCCTAGTATCCTATTCTACCTTTATAGGCTCCTATATTTATATTTATAATAGCCCTTTTTCCTATAATTATAGTAGGTGATACTAGTCTTATTATAAGGCTATTTATTAGACTACTAAGTCTAGACTATATTGACCTCTATAGGTCTAGGTTATATACTATAGGATATATTTATATATCGTTTCTTCCCTTTATTAGCCTAGTTCCTTCTAACGATCAACCTTTATTGTCCTTTCCTCTACTACTTTCTGATATAAAGATAGTCGTTGATATAGATAGCTTTAATAATATATTTATCGAAAGCTATAGGATAGTCCTCCTTATATAGCTTATCTTTAACGTCCTCCTTTAGGCTATTA